TTGGTAAAATAAATCCGCTTGGCATCTTTCTTGGCCTTAAGACAACAATTCTGATGGCTAAAGATCCAAACGGGACACACAAAAAAAACAAGTTACTTGGATGAGTGACGAAATGTTTCTCCCACTGAAAATGTTATGTCCAGATGAACAGAATCAACTTCTGGGGGGGTTCGTTTGTTAGCAATTTGGCTATGATAGTAAACAGTAGACAGACAGCAGACACAGATGTGGTTTATTGAATCTTTTGGACTGTTTTCAATATAATATTAATTACATATTAATTGGAAAAGGTGTATTGTTGACTTGTCTGCTTTTCTCAAAGGGGGGCGGTAGAGGGAGGGTTCGCCCATGGCACAAAACGGGTCAGGACCGCCCCTGGTCACACCCCTTACTGATATAAATAAAAAATAGAGAATTAAGTAAAGAATTGAAGGTATTTACCGTAGTACACTTCAACCTCACAGAGACTCAGGACCTTTGCACTTCCTGGTAAAAACACAGTGACGTAGCGTCCCTTCACAGAGTTACATGGAAAATAAAACGCTTGTCCGCTGGGAATGTGAGAGATGACAGCACACCTGTGTATGAAACATTTAAAGAAAAAGTAAAGAATAAATATAAATAAGTCCTATTGATATGATAAATAATGACTTACGGTTATAAATCAAGCTCTTTCACCTGATGCTTTCAGGGTCACTGATTGCTGTAGAATTTCCAATCCAGATTTCGGCACCATCCAGCCCATTTTCCAATTCCTGTCTATTGGTTATCATTACAGTCCCAATTGTATACACATTTACCAGGTCTACCCTCCACCAGGGATCAGATTCTACAGTGGTAAGTGTGCAAGACCCACTTTGATAGTTTGCATCTCTGTTTCCATCAACTGCCTTACCAGCAGTACCCACAGTGCCACTGGTTGAAGATTGGACAGCTTTTTGTTTCAGTGCCAGGTTGTAAAGAAGTTGACCTAAATGATTTTTAAAAAGTGGTTATTAATAAAAACAAACAAATGCATATAAATCCAGGTCAAGTGTCAAATTAGGAGTTCCTATATTTGTATTTGTGGAGGTTTGCAACAGGCAATTTACTACATATTGCACTGAATGTAGAGTCACAATAGCAGCACCTAGTTCACCCCTGAAGTGTTTGCAAAAGTTTCTTCTAGGAGTGTTAATTTATTTTTAAATGAAAAGTGGAGAGGTTATTAGAACAATTGACTAATTAATATGAGTTAATGGCTCAAATATGCATGTACAGTTTAGACCTTGCATGTCCGCCTTATGTCAGCCCGAAAAGTATTTCTGCCCTTTCTGATTTCAGTTACATGTTTTGTGCCATCAAATAAAATGTAACAATAGACAAAAATAATGAGTAAATACAAGAAACTGTTTATTTAGCTAAGAATTATTTCATTAGGAGAAAAGAAGCTAACTAAATCTACCTGGTCTTGTGCCTAAAAGTCATGGCTCTTCCTTGTTCAGTCATGAGTTAACTTCGATCAACTATAAACTGTACTAAGCTGAGTTTAATGTCAATGGAATGGTTCTTATATAAAGCTTTTCTACTCTTCAGAGCAGTTTCTGTTGGCTAGCCAACAGAAAATACTCCAAGAGTACATATGCATTCATCTGCATGTCAAAAAAGAACCCAGAACGACATACAAAGAACTGCAGGTTTCACTTGTTTCAGTTAAGGTCAGATTTTGTGATTCATCAATAAGAAAAAGACTGAAAAAAATGCCATCTATGTGTGACTGCAAGGAGAAAACCACTGCTGACCAAAAATAACACAAAGTCTCCTCTCACATTTGCCAGTAAACAGGCCACTTCAGTTTTACTCTTTCATGTGAATATATGCCTTCTCCTTGCCTCCAGTTGACTCAGCAGCCTGTGAGTCTGTCACCCATGTTACTTGTAACTGCTAACTCAGATGAAAAGAAAAAAAAAACTTAAATAGTACAGTAGAAATCAAAATAATGTATTTGAAGAACAGTTGTTATCAATCTCACCATTGTGTGAATGGTCAATCACATATTTTCAGGAAGTTTTGGATAGCTTTCTTTTCTTCATAAATTTAAAATGTTCAAAACTGCAATTTATGTTTACTATGTTTATTTTTGCCTAATATAAAAATTTGTTTGAGGATTTAAAAAATGTGTGAATATGTGCAAAGATATAAGAAAAGCTAATGAAACATTTGTGTTTCTCAGTTACAACTAAAATCAGTGTCCAGTGAGTAGGGACAGGTAGTGTCACAGTATAAGACACAATTTCTTATTTTATGTATTATAAGCAGTGTTGGTCAAGTTACTTAAAAGTAATTAATTATAGTTACTAGTTACTTCTTCAAAAAAGTAACTGACTAAGTAACTGAGTTACAAGATTCTAAAAGTAATTATTAACTTGAAAAGTAACTATTGCATTACTTTAAAAAAAATGTTTACCCTCTGGGGTCCAGGGTATAATTGTTCATGTTTTTACTACTTTTGATTTTTTCTCTAAATTTCACATTTACATATTATTTACTTTGTCTTGTTTGGTATCATCCTTTTCAGCACAACCTCATGTGTCTGAAATTACAGTTATGTTTCCATTTTGACATATTGTATTAACACAATTGATCTAAAATCAGACAAAAAACATAAAATCCAAGTAGAAAGTTTTATTTTTTTACTGTAACAAGCGCAAACATGTTTACTGAATTATATTTCATAACTTTAAATGCAAATATAAATTGTCAATTTTGCAATAATATGGACAACTTTTGCAAACAACAAAGTTATTTGCAGCCATTTACCTTTTACCTCTGTTTTTATAACCATTTCAAACTATTTACAGAACAATCGGGTGTTCTGCATTCAATAAGATGCCACAAATTATTTGTGCCGTTCGGGAAAAAATAATTTCTGTCCACTATAAAGGAGAACATCACAGCCTGATACTTGCAGGTCTGACAGCAGCAGGTGTATCACTCGTTTTTTACCTATAGACAGCAGTCACCTCATTGTTCTAACACACAACACAAAACTATCCACAACACTACACACTAACTACACAAGACAACACATTAAATACACACTCCAAACACACATCTCAAAACTCTCTCTCTCTCTCTTTTTCTGCTCTCTCTCTCACACTCTCTCTCGCCGTCACTCCTAAAACTTCCCCCTCTTTCTAAACAACCAAATGTCATGTTGCCATATACTTTTTTGATTGTTCGACATGGTGCATTTTTCCACCAACACGAAAGGCCTGATTTTTGTTTTGTGTTTTTATTTTTTGGTCATAAGCAGTGAGATCTTGCTAGCACGGTCCTTAGATGTTAAACGTGATGAAACTATTCAGGAAAAATCGCTGCGTATATATTGTTTATCATGACTCTGGTTTTACGTGGCCAATCAACACAATTTAAAAACTGGTATATATCACCTTGTTGGTTTGTCATCTTAAAGTGGTCATGCGACTGGCTTACCACGACTACTTTATTCTTCTTCCGTCAAACAGCAGCACTCATGCGATTGTTTTCCCCGATTGTTTGTTGTGCCAAAAAGCTGATCGTCTGCCAGAAATTAGTGCTTTAAGCTAATACATAACATAATAAAAGTTTGTATTAAAGAGTGACTCCTCCAATAGGTCATATTGAATTTAATAAATCCCTGTAGCATTGTAAAGCGTGAAAAAAGTAATGCACACAGTTACATATGTGACAGAGTAACTTATGTGTTTTGGCCATGATCTGATTGTAAAATCATTTTTTTTTTTATTTAATTTTATTAGGCCTTATATGAATGAAGCATGCATTTCTTCTGAGCTGTCAAATGTCCTGTCAGTCAACAGGAACTCAAAGAGTCTCCAGCAATTTCCAACAGATTAAAAAATATAGATTTTTATTCAGCTGCATCTTATTCATCCCTGTCAGTGAGACGGCTTCATTTTATTACCAGTGTAACTTTGCTCCATCATTAGCTGTGCTTTTCAAAATCAAATTTATTTATTTATTTATTTTTATTTTCTTTCTTCAGTCATTGACATGTGGTAGTTTGAACTTAGTAAATATGTACCAGAACGTTCTGATCGTAGAAGAAAAGTTTACCTGCCAGTGTTCCAGATGTTAATGTTAACATGATGAAAATGCCTGTTGACATACAGACATTAAAAACATTTAAATAACTGAATTATTTTTAAATGATCTCACTGATGTGTACATAAATGCCATCATCTTTATTTTAACTTTGTTTCTTTTTTTTAAGAAAGTTTAAGATATTTTAACTTACCAATGAAGCTCCAAATATGAGTCCCACTCATGGCTTTAGAAAATATCCGAGTCAAATGTATTATGGCATTAATTACAACACAGTAATTACTGATACACCAACTGGCAGGTAAACTGGCTTACTACCAGTCTCATATTACTTGTTTTGATCACCAAGAATATGCAAATTTTTAGTCAGTAATGTTTGCATGAATGACAACAGTATTGTCGATACCACCCTGAATTTTACTTGGTATCAGATTGGAAAGGAAATCAGTGGTATCGCACATCACTAGTTCCATCTGAACTTTGTATTGCCTGCTGGGTAACACTCATAGGATCAGGGATTAGGACTTTTTAAACAGAGAGCTGATCCAGACTTACTGTATTGGGGCCCAGTTCCCACCCCATGGACAGTACCTTCTAATGATTCAATAATGGCACACCAGATGGATTTAGAGAAACATCAAAGAAAATTATGCAATTCTGGTTTTTCTCATTCATATTCAAAACTCAAATTAAAAAAAAAAAATCAAAACTATTTGTTTCTGTTTAAATAAGTGATAAATATTTAGGCCAATGTTTATAAAATATATATTCTATCCATAAATGTCAGAAATTATATCTCACAGTGGGCTTTGGTTGCCATTTTGCTCAAGTGCGTTCCTGATTAGGATCTGTGACCCCAAAATAATTTCCATTAAACCATCTGGTATGTTGATGACGGTGACACTACGGTGACGGTTGAGACTACAAGCCCATTATCATCAATGGAGCTCCAGTGGAGAGGGTGCAGTCCTTCAAGTA